TTATTTGTTTCTTCCCCATCAGAGCAACTCCACCCATGGAGCCCTCCCCCCTGGCAATCCACTATTGAATCCACCTTTTTGAACAGTAACTGCCTTTAATGAATAATAACTACCATTAATGAACAATAATTGTCATTTGCATCTCTACCCTTAGAGCCCTCCCCCCTGGCAATAGGCAATAAAATATTAGTTTTTTTTTGTTTAAATAATACAAAATAAAATTATTTGTAATTTCGAATAAGATTTTTTAAATCTTTCTCGTTGCGCCACGTGTCATTTTATAAAAAAAAACAATTATTTAGCGATGGATTTCGATAAGATTTTTATCCAATGTCATCGTGCCACGTGTCGTTATCTTTTGAGAATCCTTGACGATAGATTTCGATCAGATTTTAACTCGTTCAAAATTGCGCCACGTGTCATTATCGGAAAAGATAATTATTAGAGATCGATTTCGATAAGATTTTTATCCAATACGATCGTGCCACATGTCATTATCTTTTCAAAATCTTTGAGGATAGATTTCGATCAGATTTTTAACGAATGACGGCATGCCACGTGGCCTTATCTACAATCCAATCCTTTCTGAATCGTCCATATAATCCACCATTTATCCTCACAAATCTCACACCAATTTTCTCAACATCTCTATCTCATTATTCATAGTTTCTGATTCTTCTTCACCATCCATCCGTACAATGTCTTCTTCTTCATCAAGGATAATGTGGGGAATCGATCAGCAAGAAGAAAAATTGTTTAACCAATTTGAAGGAATGTTCAACCTTCAGATAGCAGAAAATGAGATAGAAGAGGATGAGGAACGTAGAAGGAGAGATGACGAAACAAGAATGGCCAGAGCCTCACATTCCCGTCGAGTCATCCAGACTGTTGCTCAGATATGCAGGCCCAACCGTTTAAGAAACCTTGATAGAAGTAGGCAATGACGGGATGAAGAGCTGTTGGACGATTACTTTGTCCATAACAATGCATTTCCTGATACGTACTTCAGACGCCGTTTTAGAATGGAACGACATTTGTTCAACAGAATCATGACTAATGTTTGCAACCATGATTCTTACTTTGTGCAAAAGAATGATGCTTGTGGTGTTATGGGTATCATGCCTCAGTAAAAAATCACTGCTGCGTTGCGAATGCTTGCGTATGGAGCATCTGCAGACCAAGTGGATAAGATAACGAGGATGGGGAAATCAACCATTCTTGAGGCCCTGATGAAGTTTTGCAGAGCAGTCGAATCTTTGTACACCGCATAGTACCTCCGAAGACCTACTCACATGGACTTGCAAAGGCTTTTGAAGAATGGCGAGATGCGAGGTTTTCCTGGGATGATAAGAAGTATCGATTATATGCACTGGACGTGGAAAACATGTCCAAGTGCATGGCAAGGCGCATATGGGGACATAAAATGAGCAAAATCTATCATTTTGGAGCCAATGGCATCTTTTGATACATGGATATGGCACGCCTTTTTCGGGGTTCCGGGGGCTCAAAATGATCTCAACATCCTTGCCCAATCCCCAGTGTTCAACAACGTCCTGCAAGGAAAGGCACCAAAACTCACGTACGTCGTCAACGGACGTAGGTACGACAGACCATACTACCTAGCCGATGGCATTTACCCACGGTGGGAAACATTTGTCAAAACAGTGCCACGTCCGCGAGGTGTAAAGGAAAAACACTTTGCAAGCTGTCAAGAGGGGTGCAATAAGGATGTGGAGCGTTGTTTTGGTATCCTTCAAGCTCGTTGGGCCATCATCAGGGGTGCTGCCAGAATGTTCGATGTAGAGTCACTTCGATCCATCATGATGACGTGCGTCATTCTTCACAACATGATTGTGGAAGATAAGTTCGATTATGATGCGGTTGATGAATATGAGCTAGAGCCAGACACGATGAACAATTCAAGAACACAAATATATTGTGCGCATGATGCCACCGAAGAACCCGTGCAACACGAGCCATTAGAAAGGGATGGACGTTACAATGAAAGGGTCATTCAACGATATACTGCACTTCAAAGGTCATCTATGCACAATGATCGGCAAATTGACTTGATAGAGCACCAGTGGACATTGAAACAAACTAAAGATACTTAAGTTTATTTAGTATGTTTGTTTGTATTTGGTGTGTTTATGTAATTTTATTTGGTGTGTTTTTTGTAGTGAGTTTTTTATTATTTGGTATGTTATGTAATTTTATTTGGTGTGAATTATTTGGTATGTTTATGTAATTTTATTTGGTGTGTTTTTTGTAGTGAGTTTTTTATTATTTGGTATGTTTATGTAATTTTATTTCATTATACGTGAACAATTTGATGAATAAAGATTCTATTATTAGGATAAATATATTACGAAATTAAATAAATGTACTCTCACTTTAAATAAAGTACTAACTTCAATAAATTGGAAACAACATAAATAATAAATTACAATCCAAAGTGATTGGAAAACTATGGGCTCCGATTACAAAAAGTACCATATTCATCATCACTTAACCAATTTGTGGTGCTAGGATCATCTTGTCTTGTTGTGCTAGGACCATCTTGTCTTGATCTCGCTTCTCTTGCACGCCTCCTTTGCACCACATCCGCTTTCTCCGACTGCCAAAAATATTTAGAATTTGGAGACATCCCTTCTAAACGCATGTTCATAATGTCACGATCTCGTTGTGCAATTCTTTCTTCTCTAAGCAACTCCCTTTCTTGCCTAAGTAGCTATATTTCCCTCTGTTCAGCTTGAAATGCTTGTTGAATAGCTGCAGCTTTTGCCTCATCTCTAGCCTTTTCAGCCTCATATTTCGCCAATTCCCGTGCCAACGTCAATTCACCTTGACGAGCAAGTTCTTGCATGTACTTTCCATAATCATTCTTGGAAGCACTCAATTTCCTCTTTGAAGCCTTCTTACCTTGAGGCCTAATTGGATAACAGGTCGACCCCGACGCTTGTTCAGGAATGAGCGTTTCAGGCACTTCTTGTCCATCTTCTTCATCAACATGGGAGCCATGATCGGGTGTAGAGTGTGGAGGGGTGCTGTGTACAAAGGTGCTGTGTAGAGGGGTGCTGTTCATGCATACTTCTGGACCAACAGGCACAACTTTGAATTTAGGACAATCTTTAACAATATTCCAACATTCCCATCGGTGGAATGATTTGTTTCTTGATTTGATTTAGCATACCATGCTTGTGCTTAAAGTAGCTACAAATGAATAATAATGAAATTATTAGGTAACAAATAAATAATACAAACAAATAATAATAATGAAATTATTAGGTAACAAATAAATAATACAAACAAATAATAATAATGAAATTAGGTCACAAATAAATAATGCAAACAAATAATAATAATGAAGTTAGGTAACAAATAAATAAAACAAACAAATAATTATAATCAAATTAGGTAACAAAATAATAATACAAACAAATAATTATAATATATTCTTACCTCATCCGCATAATTTGCCCCACTTCGAACATTACTACTAGCTTGTGTCAAGGCATCTCTCCACGTACTAAAGGAATGGCTAAGTATTTTCCAACGACTGGACATCAATTCTTTGGTTCTTTTCCCACTCATTTGCTTAAGAAATTTGGTATGAATTAAACTCCACATTTCTCGCAACTGCATCTCATTACCTGTAAGGGAATTATGAGTAACTTCAACCCAACTAGTGCACAACGCAACATCTTTAAGAAGCGATCAATTCGTACCTGCATCAGTAGTCATTTTGTGGAAAAAAAATTGGATTGAAACTTTGAGAGAAAGATAGGAATTTGATTGAAAGTAGTTGAGAAAATATGAAATTGTGGTGTAAGGTAGATGGAGAAGAAGTGGTATTTATAGAAAAGTAAAAACAATTTTTTTTCAGATTTTTTACAATTTTTTCGGATTTTTTACAATTTTTTTTAAATTTTTATTCAAATAATTAATCTCTGCCGTTGGATTTTAAAAAATTTGAATTCCAACACTCCAGATTGTGCCACGTGTCACAACGGTAACTTTTCTTAATTTTAAAACTATTTTTTCTTTTTTTTTTTAAATTTATAAAGCAGATTAATATCAACCGTTGATCTCAGATCGAACGGTTGATATAAAATTAGCTTTTTTTTTATGACCGTTGCAAATCGGACGGTTTGTATTAAAGAGCCGTTAGGATCGAACAGACCGTGGGAAGCCACGTGGCTTCCCAACGGTAATTGGGTGGCTAGGCCCGTGCCCTGAATTCCTGTCGGGCGTCGCGCCCCCACTTGCGAGTGAGGGGCACGCGCCTGACACAAAAAAAATATAAAAAAAAAGCCCGGACCCAGGCCTGACGTCACGGGCCTTCAGCCACAAGCCTGTCGATTGCCCACCCCCCGGTCCTCAGGCTCCCACCCTCACTCGGGCTCTCCATGGCTGGAGAAGAACCAACCGGCCCTCGGGCCCTTTCCTGGTGCTTGTCCCCCGAGCAAAGAGCAAGGCTGGACTTGCTCTCACGTGGGCACCATCAACTTTGTCATTTTTTTATTCTTTTCTCTCTTCTCTTTCATTTTTTATTTTTTTATCTCTCTCCATTTATATTTATATTTTATAATAACCAAATTACTAAATTATCCTTGCATGATTTGCTATATTATTTTAAACAAGTTTTGAATTTTTTGGTCTGTGGAGCAGTTTGGTCCAATTATTTTTGTCGAAGAGGGTGACACCAAATTGGCATGCTGGCTTTATACATAATAGATAAACAAAAGTGGGGTTTTCGACTAAAGGCCTCTAATTTTCTTGTGTTTTCTTGTAGTTGACCATTAGTTTCTGATTAGCTGCTGAAGGTAGTCAGATAGAGTTCATCCACGCAAACCATATCGCCGGTGAGTCCTTCGTGGCAGAAACCTAATGGACCAATAGCGATAAGGAGAATCCACTCTGGATTTCATTCATTCCACGTAAGACTGTCAGTGACACTTTCTTACTGTTCCTTTCAATCGTGGGCTTTTCATGTGTTATTTGTACTTAATTATGTCTTTCCATTAATGGCAGAACCAAGCACAAGTACAAACAATCTCTGACTTTGTCCCACTCAAGGAACCTCTGCATTGAAGTAAAATAATCTGGGAAATATTTGGGAGTTGGACTTGGAGGTATGTAAACCTAGCCCTTCGAGATTTTTCTGTTTTGTTCAGGAAAGTTGGTATTTTGAGTAACTTCTGTTTGGTTGCTGAGAAAATAAATGAAACTCCCGAGAAAAAGTCTCCTGCTTTGTATTGTATCTCAAGAGAATTATGGTTTCTAGATGTGGAGAATTTGCGTTGGTTGTAAATTGAAATTCTTTCATAATTAACCAGTCAAACAATCTTAAGCTTTTGTGTTTTGTCTGGTATAAAGTTGGCCTTTTGTGTCTCCGTTTGGTTGCTGAGAAAATAACTGAAACTAACAAGAAAAGGTCACATGCTTTAATGTTGTACTTGTAAAATATTTGCTCTCTAGTACTAGTACTTCCTCATAATTTTTCTTCAAGGGATTCTTACATGTAACGGCTGTGATTTCACATGACGAGTGAGATAGAGAGCGGAGATAAACCACTGGTTATCACTATTGTTGTATATATTGGAGTTAGTTCATGCATGATACCCTTTTTCAGGAACACATGGCTATAGTTCCAATATGCTACAAAATACCATATAGAGGCTGTGCTGAATCAAATCACTATGTAATCGGACAGAGGGACAGAGGGTTTCGATGTGATTGTATTCCAACTTCCGAAAATAATGCAAGAAGACATAAGAATCTTGGGATGGTTTGGTATGCCGCATCAGATTCTGGGAACCATTTGAGATCCTTGGATTCTTACTTTGGGAAGCTCCAAAACGTCACAAATGTGCCTCTGGATGATTCAAACACGACAAGGGAGCAACCACTCAGTAAAAATAATGGTCAGCTGAGATTAAAGGAGGGTTTGGAGTCTCTTGATGATTATCTTGGAAAACTAAGAAATAAAGGTAAAATTATCTTCCCAGCTGAGTCGATTGTGTGTGTTACTTTTAGAAATGACATTTTAATTCTTATATTTTATATTAACTCAGATGGAGACTCGACGAAAACATCTAGTTCTGTTGATCTTGCTACTGAAGACATTCCAATTGCAAAACCATCAGCTATCAATCGGGATTCCGGAAAAGGTGATGAGAGGGTACTGAAGGCATATAGAAATCCTATACGTAAAAGGGATGATCTTGGTCCAAAGAATTCTACAGACTCGCTCGAGTATAATGAAATCTCTGATCTCTACTTGATGTAAGACCCTGCCCTATCTAAATTAGTACTCAGAAATATGCACCAATCGAACCGGTAATAAACTTTTAATCAGAAATAGAAATGGGGAGCTAAATAGACTCATAAGTTTGTATATAAACCGCAGTTTTATGTTCTGCCAGTTTTATTTTCGATTAAAATTTTGTGACCGGTATATTTATTCATATAATATTGGGAACCGAAAATCCAAGTTAAATCTGGGAGCTCCTCAGGAATAATTACATTTTGCTTCTTTGTTCTTTATGTTGGATGCAGAAGCATATTAGGTTCTGTAAACATTGCAGTTTTTCTGTTCGAGATTGCGAGTCCTGTTAGGAACACTGACTTAGGGCTATTCTCTCTTCCATTGCTATATGGAGCAAAGATAAATGATTTGATCCTGGTTGGAGAATGGTGGAGGCTAGTCACACCCATGTTTCTGGTACAAGACTGACGATTCGGTTCGTGTTTCGATTCTGTTTCCATTTCAACATTATCTGTGATAATTTGCATTAGCTAGTTAACCACTGGATTTGAATGTGAACATATCAAATAATTATAGGGCTTTGCACATTACGAGAGATTTATCTGGCCTTAACATTTATGAAACGTCCAGTTTGTTGGTTCTTAGTATAATGCAGCACATATATGCTTTCTGGTTTATGAAATATCTGCAAGATCCGCCTCACAATTTGTATCGATTAAGAAAATAGTAGGAACTCCTAAAGCAATACATTCTTGAAGAGCATTTGCATATTCTTCTTCCTGATCAACGATTATCACGTGGCTCATGTAAATTATGCAGCACTCGGGGCTTTTCCACATAGCTGTTGGTTGCTGGGGACTTGTTGTATTTGGGCCTAAAGTGTGCAGAGGCTATGGATCATTCACATTTTTCTTGATTTACATACTCGGAGGAGTCTCCGGCAACTTGATTAGCTTTCTTCATACACCAGAGCCCACTGTTGGTGGAACGGTAAGCAGCTCAGCTCCTCAAATTCCACTTCATTTTCTACGAATCTAGTTACCCTTTTTCTCTTTTCTTCCCGATGTGCTTTAAGTTCGTAATGTGATTGCAGGGACCAATATTCGCCATGATCGGAGCTTGGCTCGCTTATCAGGTCCAAAACAAGGACATAATTTCCAAGGATATTTCGGAGAATATGTTCCAAAAGGCTGTCATAACCACGCTTCTTAGCTTCACTTTGAGCATTTTCTGTCCTATTGATGATTGGTAAGCTACCAGACGCATTTTCAAATTTTGAAGATACTTATTCGTTTTTTTTATTTTCATATCAGAAAACGTTACGAGATGGTCCCAGAGTGACCTTATATCATATTATGTTGTTGCAGGACACATTTTGGAGCAGCATTTGCAGGAGTGGCATATGGGTTTTTGACATGCCCAACTCTTCAACTGGATGATGCATCATCTTCTTCAGCAAGTGGCCAAGAGGAAGGAATCGCACTTGTTAGACGCTATGCAGATCCTTGCAAATCACTGTTTTTCTTTGCCCTATTTGTTCTTGTATTAAGCTCTCTACTTTTGTTTGTGGAACCTCCCCTGAATGTCATAGCATCAGATTCTTCCCTGTAAAACTTCTAAAAGGATGCGAAACCATCAATTTATACAACACATTAGCTTATATGTGTTTCTTGTGTAGCACGCAAGAGGGTAAACCTTCAATTTTGACAGTGTATCAATTTTTACATGCAATCGGTTTGTAACAGTTTGTGAGACTTGAGACTCAAGAGTAGAGAGAATTAGGGCCACGTGACTAGGACAGGTGGAACAAGCTTGAGGCCGGTTTAGACAAAATATAGAGGGTCTCGTACTTTTTTGAGAGGCCAAAACGAAGCCAGCCTTGAACTTTGGGGTTGGCAGTGACCTTGTGTGAGGGGTAGGTTAGGATGGGAGGGCTATAACACGTGTGCCCTTGGACTACCTCCCTCATTTTCTGGGGAATTGGATCCCCTCCGAGGCAACTCCTCGGGATCCTCTAACGTGGGCTAGTTTTGAGCTGGGCCATAGCACGTGTGCCTCAAACACTGCTAAGTTTTTCTTTTGAGAGTCTAATGAGATAAAATTATGCTACAATCAGTCGTTTATGTACGTGGATAACTTTAACTGCACATGCACACATATCTCATGATGACTGAACCTAGCGTCCCTTTGAACAACGTCATTGGCCAACAAGGTAATTAATTAATTAAACGAACTCCCGTCAGCTTGCATGTGAACCAAGTGACTTTTTGTTCTAACAAATATAGCTCCCAAATCCAAACTATAATTTCGTATGTTTGTTTTTTCAGACCAGAATTCTTCATGCATGGTGTATCTCCACGTTAAAGGAACCATGCCATTGCTTGCTGAACGTTTACAGTTGGGTTACTTACAACAAACCACGTAACACAAAGAGCTTTCTGTCCTTTTCATCCATCAGCTTTGAACCTCTCTGTGTCACTCAGGTCTCAGGGTGTGTACTTTTGAGATTGGAGTTTAAAAGTGTGTATAGTTTGAGAACTAAAAGATTGAAGTGTTGCAGCTTGAGCTTTTGAAGCTTTGATATCAATGGCGGTCGGAAGGATTGGTAGAGGTTTAATGGCTCCTCTTCTGGTAGTCAACTTGGTGGTCCATCTGATCATGCTTGGACTTGCTTGTTTGTCCCTTGATAAATACATCAACGGAGAGCAAAATCACCCCCGTAAGCACTCTCTCTCTCTCAATCACTCCTTTTTTCGTTTTCATTGCTTATTTTACGCCCACTAGAATTTCAATAGAAAATATGCACAAATAGAACCAACTCTGCAAAATAGTAGTGGGAGAGACTAAACATCGTATGTAAATCACGGTATAGTGCCTTGTTTTATTGTCTGTTTAGTAACGCACAATTGATTAGATTGTTTATTTTATTGTCCATTTAGTATCCTCTAGTACTCGAGTTGGGTTAAGTTAGTTAATTAGATTGCATGTTCTATTGTCAGTGTAGTATCCCTCTAGTATATACCCTCTGGTACTGGACGTGGATTAGGAAAGTTGATCAGAAAAGTATCACTTATGTGTACCGAGTACGATTACCTTGTGCATAGATTAGAGTAGTTTAGAATACTATGGCTGAAATAGGGTTTTGAGCTCTGATACTTTTGTACAGATTTGGGAGGCAATACATCGACTAGCTTCTTGTTGATCTTTGCATTGATAGCCGGTGTGGTTGGTGCTGCTTCTGTGCTTTACGGTCTGATACATCTCCGGATATGGCGAACTGATAGTTTAGCCGATGCAGCTTCTTCAGCTATCGTCGCCCTGACGATTATCGCCTTCGCTTTCGGGTAGTTTTCTCTCCCATCTCCGCCCCAAAATCAACATGAAAAAGTGCTTACATTTTCATAACAAAAGTCAAGAAATTAATCAGTTTTGGTTGGATGTGTCTCTGATGCAGTTTTGTGTGTAAAGAGATCATATTAGGAGGGCACAGAGGAAAACGCTTGGTAAGAGAATTTTTAAGCAAATATTGCTGTTTGCCGAGGCACAATTAAACAAATTAAAACTAGATTATGTAAATTAATTGGTGTTTTTCAGCACACACTGGAAGCTATGATTGCAGTATCACTACTAAGTCAATTGCTTTACCTGTTGCTTCTGCATGCTGGGATGTTTAGGAGCAGACATAGACATGGTGGAATTGGCACCGGTCATGACCCCCGGAGCACCGGCGCAACGGCTGTGATCTGACTTCCGTTCAAATCAGTAGCTGTAAATTAAACAGCACAATGTCTCCGTTTCATTAGCCGCGCTCTGCGTTTGTATCAATTTTTTTTTCCAGTTAGTTTTGGTGGGAATGGAACTCTGGACGTACCCTAACCTGACACAAGCTAGAAGGGTTCGAAGGGGCATATGTTTGTATGAGTTTCGGTGTATACCGATCTCAAAAACCCATACGCAAAACAGTTCTTTACCGAATTCAAAAACCCGGAAGCAAAAAATATGCAGAACGAAAATATTAAGTTATGTTACTATTTGAACTTAGATAACACAGTTATACATAACCAACATCGATTATTCGAGCTACCGGATAATTTTCGGACATGATTCCTATGATTCTGGTTCATCATCGGCTTTCCATTCTACGATTGCCAACGTATGGCGTCCTCCAGAAGCGACGAGTTTGGCAATCCAGTGTCCATTGTCTGCAGTGCCATTTCTGGGAGGGATGCCAATGGGAACTTCCATCGGCTGACCAGTCGTCACCTTCCTTCCATATCCAAGGCGTCCGTGGTCGCCTCGGCCAAACTGCCGATACAAAAGCAAGTTGTTGGTTCAAACAAAAATGGTGGAACCAGATGTGATGTGGAAGGAAACTCAAGATATTGCAAGAACTAAAGCAAGGTAATGAGAAATTAACGTAAGCAAATTATCTTTTTAACTCGTATTGGTGAAAATTTCTTACCGAATAGATTCGCCCGTCACGAGTTAATGCAACAGAGTGAGTGCCTCCACAAGACACCTACATGAAAAATAAACACAATCCATCTCAAACTGTTGGAAGGAAACGAGATTATTACGAGCCTGCAGGATTTTTGGAGCAATCGATGATAGAAATCGATCAAATCAACGATAAAACACATTGTAGTCCGAGTTATTCAGAGGAGTGGCGAGGAATGAACTACAGATAGTACCTGAACAATATCCTCCCCAGCTAAAAGATGAACCCTTTGCGGCACCATTTTACTACTTTTATCATTGTCACCAAAACCCAAGCCTTCCATGTTCTCCTCGTCCCCAACCATACACCCTGCAGTCAAATGAAAAAGGGAGAGAAGTAAGGATATCCCACTGACTCAAATGCAGATGTTACAACGGTAGCAATACCGAAATATTTGAACTATAGCAGGTTGATCTCAAACGGTCATTGGTGTATGTTAGAAGGGAGGAAGGGAGAGAAATCACCTCTCCATCTTCTGTTAGTGCAGTAGAATGCCATCCTCCAGCAGCAATATCCACCTATACAAGCAAAAAGGTTAAAAAAAAACACACATTATAAACATATGGCAAACACATTATAAACGTATGGCGTATCATCTAGTTGCAGACGTTCAACTATGAAGTGATCCAGGAAATCTGCAGACACAAGAAATCTTTATATGGGGACAATATGGTTATTCCAAAAATTCTTCACATGACAACACAATCATGACAAAATACAACTAGGTCAGGAAACAACGCACTTCAGTGTATAGTGGATAACGCGAAGGCACACATTCAGAAAAAATTGAGATAATCATACATGAGGCTAGGCATAAGCAACTACGAGAAATTAAACAAAAAGATACTACACGGAAATGTGATACAAACCAAATTAAGACCAGATAGCCCCTGGACAGGAATAGGCTGCGATCTCGGCTGAGTATCCCCTGTTCCAAGTTGTCCATATTCGTTATTACCCCAAGCCCATAAAGTACCATCCTCCTGCAGAGCCAAATTATGAAATGCCCCAACTGCAATGAGCCTCACTGCATCAAGACCTTGTACACGCACAGGTGTTGAAATTTGTTTTCTGAAAATTAGAAGCAAAGTCCAGGAATGATTGTATGATAAACGACAGTGAGCGATGAGTTCACAAGTACATCCATGCACGTAGCTGTTATAGTATAAAGAGCATTTGATATAGTATGACCCAGAAGGTGGGCGGCAATCTAAGAAAGATGCTTGAAAAACAAGTTGACAGATTCAAGTCCAAGGGCAACATACATGTCTCCCGGAGGCCATGGCTGACCCCATGTCCATACTTGCCCATCACGTGTAAGTACCACAGAGTGAGTACCCCCAGCAGCTACCTGGGATGTGAAAAATTAGAACATGTCAAATACCGTTTTATAGAAAGAGATGTCTCTTGAGAAACAAAAGCATCCTACATCCAAAAATTCCTATCATGCAGTTCTCTAGACACAGGCATGGGTACTCACCTGGCGGACCTTAAGTGTTGGTGCACAGCGTTGAGGATTCACTATATCCCTTCTCAAAGGTCTAACAGTGTCATCTTTCCGCTCAGGTTCTTCACCACACTGTCCATACTCATTCCCACCTGCACCAAACAACTTTGTACCCTTAGACTGAGAAGAAACAACTTCCGGGTCTATTTACCACACCTCAAGAAAACCAACCAAAACCTCTACTTGGAAGTTAAACATACTAAACTTGAGGATGGTTTAAAACATGACTTAGAAGCAACCATCTTTTGGCATTTGGCTTAACTGGCTTAAAGGACCACATTCTTTCTTCTATTGCATTCTAAATAATGAAAACAAGAGAACTTGAAACAATGAAATAAATATTCACAGCAACTTAAACAGTAAAAAAATGCTTGATCAATTACCCCAAGCGTAAGCACGACCTTGATCATCGACAGCCAAACAATGCCATCCACCAATAGCAGCCTAGATTTCAAACAACCCCTAATTAAATCAAAGCAAAATTATACTAACAAAAAAATTAACTACTTCCAAAGCCAAGCACGGTTATGATAAATTCGAAATTACCTGAACAATCTTGACATTGGCAAGAGCTTTAACCTGGCTTGGAATGTTCTCAGTTTTGGTCTCGGAAGGGTGCCCTAAGGTTCCTCTTTGGTTCCAACCCCATGTAAACAACTGATAACCCAAATTCAATTCACAACACAAAAAATCAAACTTCCAGTGAAACAAAATATATGCAACAAAAATCCAAACTTTCAGTAAATCCAAAACCACAAGTTCAATAAATATCCAAACTTTCAGTAAACCCAAAACCAAATTTTTTTTTTTTAAAAAAAAATCCAAACTTTCAGTAAACCCAAAACAAACAAGTGAAAAGGGTAGTAATCAAAACAGTGGATAGAGTGATAAAAAGACAAGAAGAAGATGAAAGAGGACCCACCTTGCCGTCATCGCAAATAGCGAGAGAATTTCGGCTGCCAGCGACAACAGAGCGGATAGTCTGCGACTCGAGGGCTCTGACGGCGCACACCCATTCCTTCTCCTCGTTGTTCCCGATTCCCAATTGGCCGTCTTCCCCAGAGCCCCTGTTCACAAAGACAAACAGAATGAACGAAACCTGCTTTACTTTCTCTTTCTAGAATAGCATAACAGAGGGGAGAGAGAAAGAGAGAGCAAATACCAAGTGGCAATGGCAGCATCGGATGCCATTGGAGGCTGAATCAGAGCTTGAATTGATGCTATTAAAAAGATAGCAGGGAGAGGAGTGACTGTGTTGATCAAATACTCAATAGAACAGCATATCGTGTTTGTTTACGATACGCGTGTGTGTATCTTTATATGTTGTGAAGCAATTTGAGCAGGGCAACCCAGATACCAAAAACGCGATAGCGATGGAAATGGAAGTGGGGCAAACGGCGGCGTTTTACTTGACGAGGAAAAAGTTTTTTTTTTTTTTTTGTCAATCGATAGATTTTGTTAAATTAGTCAACGACGGGATTCATGCAATGACTCAACATCTTTCCACCACTGTTGTAAAAATGCCACTTGCAGTGGAGAAAAAAGTTTATGCGACAATAGTTTTTCTAGCCTTTTTTTTCTTTTTTTTTAATTTTTATGGAAATTGTTAGCACTAAAAAATTTTCATTTTGCACTCTAAATATTATAGAAAGAAAAATACAACAACTCTCTATTTTGTTTGTAAATTTTATAGTTCAGTTATGCTCTCATGGAAATTAAAGAAAAACTACAAGGGAAATATCAATTATGGCTCTATGTTAGAACACAACTTGGCTGTTATAAATTCTGCTTATAATCAATCCGGGATGGACACGTGTTTAAGTTTTGGTTTTTTAGTCAAAAACTTGAACACGTGTCCATCCCGAATTGGTTGTAAGCAGGACCGGTTGCTGAATTCTTCAGCAGCCAAGTTCTTTCCTCTACGTTATGTTTTGTCATCAACCCTAAACCCTAATTGTCGGTTGGATCTTAAAAGTTTGCACAAAAAAATAAGAAATAAATAGAGAAAGGAGAAAGACAGAAACGAACAAAGAGTGACGAGTGAGCATCATGGGAGACACCACCACTATAAAACCGAAAAGATTGGTTTTGGGGAGTGGGGATGCATTCAGTCAGACATGATATGCTCGCTTGTTTGGTTTTTTTTTTTTATTTCAGTAATTTTTGACACTCTTCATTGCTTTAATTTGGCCCATAATTCTCATGTGATTCTGGTCGGAAATTGATCACAAAATCAGTTATTGAAATGCAATGGATTCTTATAAGCTGAGTGGCAATAATTTTAAGAATACGGTGGTCCTGGAAAGGGATCCTCTCCGGACCCCTTCCTCCTAATCCACAAAGTCCGAAGATCCGGGTCATTGAAACTCGTGAATGTCCAAAATGCAGCATACCAACAGGAAAAGAAACAAGAGAAGAAGATGAACATGGAGACGAGCTAAAACCGATTGAGGTACCCATTGTTTCAACGTCAAAATGAATCAAATCGCGACGATAAAGCAGCGGACTCAGTGACTTATCGATTCAGAAGATATACATACTCAAGATACAAGAAATCACAAATGCACAAAGCAATAAACTGATTTGTAAAAGCCCCAAACGATCAATTCTAATGTTGCAAAGTTAAACTTGCAGCGAACAATGAAGGTACCAGCTTCGGTAGAGCGAATCGGATGTACCCGAAACACAACCTGGTTGAGAGAAGCATAAAGAATACAAGCTCCACAATGTTATATCTGGTAAAAAAACAACACAAGCCATTGGAAATCTGAAGAAGAAACAGTGAAGAAAAACACTAATTTTTAACACTAAATCATATAGCACAGCACTCAAAGCACTGAACCAAATTCTTCTCTCACCAATTATAAAACGCAATTTTGCGATCTGTTGGAACATTCCAACCCTAGGCTGGAACATTTCAACCCTAAGCGCTGACGCGCTCAAGACCGTCAAGTTCATAGGCAAATCCTTCTACAACCCACATGGCATCTATTACAAAGGTCCCAAGATAAATGGGTACATAGTACAAATTCTACGAACCAGAAGCCTCGTTACTGCTGTGCTTCACTGGATTCGCGCTTTGATGCTTCCTTGATTTCGTCCCCAGCATCATCCTAAAACACCAGATGAACAATTACATTTAGTCTACCACAGTTACAATACTGGAGGGGAACTTAATCATCAGCCGACCCTACTTAGTCGGAAAAGGCTTTGTTGTTTTTGTTGTTGTTGTTGGAACTTAATCATCAAACAGCATTGGATGAATACAAATTTAAATGATTGGTTACATCATCGGTATCACTAGAATGATGCATCCCCGATCTCAAGACCCCCTTTCCTTTCTCCCTTTGTGGGGTAAATGAAAAAAGTACCAACCTTAACTCTAATAAATGATCCATACATGGACATGTTCAACAAGGTAGGGAGGGAGGGGGGAGAGATAAATCTAATACACTTTAAATGTATACATTCGTTCATGTAAATGCATCACGAGGGAGAAAGGATGAGAGAGATACCGTGATATCAGAAGTCCAGAGTGTCAGATTGTCTCGGAGGAGCTGCATGATCAAAGTGCTATCCTTGTAGGATTCCTCACCCAATGTGTCAAGCTCAGAAATAGCCTCATCAAAAGCCTGTGGGAAAGACGTAGCAAAATTGAGTTTAAAAGCAATGCACTAAACATCCAATTCTCAAGTTTATTTGAAAACTGCAGTCACAAAGAAACTTGTACTCGACCAGAAGGGAGAAAATAATCATTTTACGAAAGCGTGTTTAGTTCACTTAACAAACCAAATGTTAGAAAGCAAAACACATATACCAAATTCATGCCCTGAAGATACACGAATGGTTAAACAACCCTTAAATAAGAAATGTATAACACTCATATAGAAATTCTGGAGCATGAATTGCTAATTTGTAACATGTTACATAACAGCTAAAACTCAAAAGTTCACATCCACATTGTATATTCACACTACAAGTCCAATGTTATCTAAATTATCCCACCAAATATGATGGCTGCTGTTCTTGAAATTGGTGAGAGTTCATTTCTTCTAGTATATGTAGTGATACCTATTAATTAACCCATCAAGCATGATCAAGAATCTAACCTAAACAAAGTTACGAGTGGAAAGGCTTTTTAAAATTTGAGCCAAGAAGTAGAAATTACTCAGGACAGAAGTATTCAGAGATTATAAAAGTGAGTGATTAAAGGACGACTCGCCATTTCTCATACAAC